TTCTGATTTAGTAGATAATTTGCACTTTGAATAAGCTTCCAGATAATGCTGATCGAACAAGTGAAACCTTACTTGCCCCTGTTGTCTACTGATCTATTGTAGTTTCCTTACTCATAATTAATAAAATGGTGCCCCCAAAAGGATAAATAACATGTTTCAGATAAGCAAGAGAATGAACTAGATCTGAGGCTTAGTTTCTTGAATTTCAATTCATCATACTTTCTAATCTATTACACTGTGTTCCTCTGTTTTGTAACCTGATCACTTTCATCTTCTCATTAAGAAAGTGATCAAAGCTGGGCCAGGTGGCTCATCCCCATAATCCTAGCACTCTGGGAGGCTGAGGCAAGTCGATTGCCTGAGGTCAGGAGTTCAAAACCCCATCTCTAAAAATAGTGGGGGGTGGGGGGCAGGCATCTATAGCCCCAGCAACTCCGGAGGCTGAGGAAAGAGAAATCTCTTAAACCCAAGAGTTTGAGGTTACTGTGAGCTATGATGCCATGATGCTCTAACGAGAGTGACAAAGTGAGACTTTGTCTCAAAAAAGAAAGTTATCAGCCATACCAAAGGCATTCTACTTCTGATGAATTGAGCTAATCTCCCAGAATCTTACCATATTAACCATTAAAGCCCACAGAGATTTTAGAATCTGTTGCAAGGAAATCAATCAGAGAAGCAAAGATTCAGACAATTATAACAACATTATATTATTGATAAAATTGGCTATAGGCCCTGATTCAGGGTTCTTGACTGCCCCCCTTCTCTTCCTGTTTCTTACCTTGTCATCACTGTTCTTTACCCATGCCTTTTCTTCATTTCCTTCTTCACTTTTTCCTCTAGTTCCTACTGGTTTTGTTGTGTTTTTTAAATCTAATAAAAATAGAAAATCCCTTTTAAAAAAATTTAAAACAATAAAATTGGCTATAACCAAAATGTTCAATCATGAAAGATTGGTGAAAGAAATAACACAGAATATAACATAATAGGATGTTATACATCCATAAAAGGTAAAGTTTTAAAATAATTTGTAATCATAGCATCATGGTTAAAAGAAAAAAATGATTTGAAATAGCACAATAAATGATCATAGTTTAAAAGGATCATTTTATTTAAGATATGTAATACATAACCTCTACCTGGAGAGGTTAACAATGGTGATAAGATTATAAATTAGTTTTATAATATTCTTGTCCATATCTTATTTGATAACCATTTACAACTTTTATTTTAAAAGATGTATTAGGAGTTATAGAGATTGGTGGTGATGATTGCATAGCAATATGAATGTACTTAATAACATTGTGCAGTTAAAAATAGTTAATATGGCAAAATTTCCATTATCTGTATTTTACCACAATTTAAAAAATGAAAAAAAAATCCATTAAGAGAGAAGTGGAAGGAAAATCTTTTAAACTCAAAGAACCCATGGAACTCTCTATAGTTCAGTTCATATAGTTAGGCTTGGATGTGATATTTTCTTTATCTGAGTAGCTCAGAGCTAGCTTCCCCAAAGTTCTAAGTCTGTACCTGAATCTTTGAATTTAGTCAGTTCAGGTTTGTTTTGCTTGTTTGTTTTCCTGTGTGTATTTTTCTACCCATATCCATTTTCTTAACTTTGGGTATAGTGTTCATTCAATAGATTACCAATTATGCCTATTATGATGTAGTTAGATTGGCTATTATACTCTACTTAGTGGGAACATGACTCCTTTTCTTAGATGTCTCATAGTATATTGGAAAAGACAAGATAAATTCGTGTAATAATAGCACAAAATAATATATACTGAAGTATTTAGAGATATTCACAGCTGGCTTCATGGACATGTGATCTGTGCAGTTGCACAGGGCTCCCCTCCAGGAAGGCCCTCTGCTTAGTTTAATGGTCTGCTCTTACACTCTTGAAATTCTCAATAACTAAATTTTTAAATTTTTGCTTTGTAAATGAAGATCAATGGGACAATGGGATATGCAGGTGGGTAGACTGCTTATGTTAGGGGTTCAACATACAAATTTGGAGGATTATACAAACATTCAATCCATCCATAATACCTTCTTATCTATTTTAAATGTAGCCACCTTTTCCTAAGAGTCCTGATCTCCTTTTCTATATTAGTTTTTTAGGGGCAGTGCCTGTGGCTCAAAGGAGTAGGGCGGTGGTCCCATATGCCAGAGGTGGTAGGTTCAAACCCAGCCCTGGCCCAAAAAATAAAAAATAAAAATAAATAAATAAATAACTATACTAGTTTTTTTCCCTTGGTATTTATTCTATCTATCTTATTTATAATTACTTAATATATCCCATATAATTATTCATCATATATAGTCTGCCTCTACCATACAAAGTAAGTTCTGTGTATGGAAGGGTAAAATTAACAGCAGTGAATATGTAACATTCACCATGTTGGCCACCAGAATGGCTTCGGGAAGAAAGAGCAGGAGGAAATGTTTTTTGTCTCTTCAAATCTCCTCACTCCCCCCGCCCTTTTATTTTTAAATCTAAAACTTGCATCCCTGCCTCAGGTAGGGGTTGGGAGTGGTAGGGAATGTCTTTTGTTCTTTGTGCAGCAAAGAGGTTGCTTGTGCAGAAGTTGTGAAAACATTTTAGCTGAAAACAGGATGAATCTGGGTAGAGGACATAAGATTGTTTTAGCCCAAGAATGGATTATGGGATTAATAAGAACCTTTAAAAGCTCTGTGCTTCTGTTCAGAAGGTGGATGCTGGTATATTTTGAGACAAGAATATGCCAGCCTCCTCACTTGCTGACAAATTAATAAACTCTTTCCTTTTCAAAAAAAAAAAAAACACACACACAGAAGAAGAAGAAAGGAAGGAAGTTCTATTAAGGCAGAGATAATTGAATGTTTTATTCACTACTGTATTTCCTATGCTTAAAACAGAACCTAGAACACGTAGTAAGTTCTTAATACTAGAAATATTTGTTAATTGCATGTATCCAGGTTACAGTAGGGAAGGCTGGTTATTTGGAAAACTAAAGTAAACTTCTAGCCAGTGAAATCTCCTTTAAGTTGAAAGTTCCTCATTGATTGTGTGGTGAATTATTTACTATAAGCTAATATCTTATTACCCAACCCATAAGTTTAATCTTTCTTTACACCAAAATGTATTTCTGAAATAGTACAGCTTGTAATTTATATTTATTAAAGTCTTTTTTTTTCCAGTTAGGAGAGGTGAAAAGTAGATTCATAAAATATAATAATACATGGTTGGAAAAACGTAAGCCCTAATGAACAAAATATAATGAAGCCCTAAACCTAACGAACAGAATATAATCAAAGGGTTTTTTTTTACAACAAATTAGGGAAACACAGCAGCTGTTTTGACAAAGGCAACTTATTGAGAAACTCATTTTGACACTGACAGCTTATATGTATCTAAGGAAAGTGGCTTCTAAAATGTGGATTTCTTATCTTTTTAACCTGCTGCTGGCCATCTCCAAATCAGGGATGCATTTCTATTTATACTTAGAAAAGTCTTTTCATGGCAGGTAGTTAATGAAAGTGTAGTTTCACAGAATAGCAGAACCTGGATCAGTTCTAATTAAAAAATTCTTCATAGCTTTTGGACTTATATTTTCTTCGTGCAGGATTGAGGAAGATGTTCTTTTATATATTCACCCTCAGACTGAAGCACCTAAACCTCTACTCTCCTTTGTCTTCAGTTATCCTTACAGGATGCTGACAGGTTTCTTAGTTTTAAGAATTTAAAAACACAACTGAGATGTTAGATAATCCGAAGGTATTCTTTTGAATTTGATAAATTTTAAGTATTTTAAATTATAAGTAAAGTACTTTCTAAGTATTTCTATTTTTAAGTTACCCTCCCTTCTCCAATCTCTGTCACAAGTATGCCCTTAAGGTATATCAACCTAAATTAGGGCACTTACTCTCTCTGCATGATATCAAAGGACCAAGGAAAGAAAGGGCTGTTAGGGCACTATGGAGGGAGAATCTGGAAATGTGTAAAGGTCAAAATAGCCCGGGTTTCTGCCTAAACTTCTTAGTTCATTGTCCTCCAAGACTAGTGAAAGTCACTTACAGGTAATAATCTAGCATAGATATTCAACTTTGGACAATACAGGTGAGTTAAACTCTTTTTCTACACAAAGATGAATGTCTGCCTAAGAGCTAGTGGTAGTTGTTTTATAATTTTCATACAATTAAAATTGTTAACAAGAACTCTAGACATTGAAATTTCATGAAATTTATTCTGAGTGTTCAATAAGAAAACAGCAAGGCCAGTGGCTTAGGCCTGTAATCCGAGCACGTGAAAGACCTAGGCAGGTAGATTGCCTGAGCTCATAGGTTCAAGAGCAGCCCGAGCCAGAGCGAGACCTTGTCTTTAGAAAAAATAGCCAGGCGTTGTGGCAGGTGCCTATAGTCCCAGCTATTTGGAGGCTGAGGCAAGAGGATCACAAGTGAACCTAAGAGTTTGAGATTGCTGTGAGCAAAGACTCCATAGCACTCTACCAAGGGTGACCAAGTGGGACTATGTCAAAAAAAAAAAGAAAGAAAGAAATAAAAGAAAATTAGATGATGTGATTATTTTTTCAAATAAGTTGAAATTATTTTAATTAATAAAAATTATACATTTAAAAAATTCTCTTTTCAAAGGAATTTTTTAGGGAGACTGTATAGTATAATGAAAGAATCCTAGACTAAAAATCAGCAAACATGTCTTCTAAGCTCTGAACTAAAACTAACTTGCTGTGTGACCTGGCCCAAGTCTTAGAATTTTTCCTGATCTGTTTTATTATTAATATAATGAGAGGATTTGATAAGTTGATACCTTAGGTTCTTTTCAGACTTAACATGCTACGATTCTAAGTTATTGTAATAGATGAATTCATACATCTCTAATTTATGAACATTAAGGCAATATTATGACACTATTTGTATAAATTATCATAATATAAAGTTTTCATTGCCCATATATGCTTTAAAAAATTTCACATGCCAGTGATATGAAATTGTTTTTATAGGTACATTTCTCTCACTGAAAGGAGCTGTACTAACATTTTCCTGTATGGACCGAACTGGTGGATTAATGCAACCACCATATGAAGTTTGGAGGGATCCAAACAATATAGATGAAAATGAAAAATCATGGCGAAGGAAAGTAATCACGAACTCATCCTCTGCATCCCAAGAAGCAGGAGATCATCAGTATACAATAATATGCTCAGAAAAACAAGCCAAAGTCTTCTCACTGCCTTCTCAGACTTGCCTTTATGTTCACAACATCACTGAGACATCTTTTATACTGCAAGCAGATGTGGTGGTCATGTGTAACAGTGCCTGTCTGGCATGTTTTTGTGCTAATGGACATATCATGATAATGAGGTACTTGCCTTCTTTATAAATTATTTGGTGATCACAACAATTTTAGCAGGATACAATTATGAATAACATGTATAATGTGCAAGATGTTATAAATAAGCAACCTGAGGTCATCGTTTTGTTTGTAGATGTTTTATTGTTTAACAGTTTAGTAAGAGTTTTATTTATTTTTTTGCTAGAAATGTGCAGCATTGTGAATGACATATTTATTTTAATAAACACCAAGAAATGTAAGAAAATAATTATTTCTCATTCATATATTCATTCAACGAACATTAATTGAGCATATATCACCTCCCAGATGCAATAGTAGGCACTGGAAATAAAAGATAAATAAGCTAAAATGAAAAGAAGTTACCTGTTACTTTTACTATGTTTCATACTTCACCCAGGAATTTGACATATAGAAATTAATTTGATCTTTACAGTTTCTCTAGATTACAGGAAAATGAAGTATTATTTTCATCCTCTATGTTACATATGTTAATAAATTAAAGTTACATAATTTGCCTAAGGTTACAAGTCTAGGAAAAATGAGGCTAGCACTGACCAATATACTGAAAGTCATCACACACTTTAAAAATAAAGTTATCAGCTGAGAGATTTCATTCTTCTTTTTGTGAAGAAATAAAATTTGTTAGACACAAAAATAATTACCTAGTGATTTCATTAATTCAGCAAACAGTTAATAAACATACTATTGAGCATATATTATCTCCCAGATGTAATAGTAGGCACTGTCATTCTTTTTAATATCTCACCTATTTCCAAAAATCACTGAGGCAGTTAAGCATATACCAGGCCTGTGAAAGATATAAAAATAGTAAATCGTGGGCCTACCCTTTAAGAATTTCACTGCCTAATTGGGGAGATAAAACAGGTACACAAGTAATAATTCCACAAAGAAAATGTAGATTCCAACAGAGGCAATATGGGATTGAATTTTCTAGTCACAAACTAAATCCCTGGAGTTCAAAGTCATAGGATCGTTGAACAGGTATTATAAGAGTTATTAGAAGGAAAGTAACCTGGAGAGATAGATTGAGCAAATTGTTGAGGATTTTGAATGTCAGGCTAAGAGTCTGACATTACTCATTAGTAGGAAAATGGATTTTACAACAGGCAATCAATATTATCTAGCTATAATACACATGGAAGGAGAGTTAGGATGGGCTTTTAAACTGAAGCCATTGCTATATGGAAAGAAAGGAGCGAACAGGTGTGAGGGATAATAGAGAGACACTTAATGCAAAGTTGATTGGTTTGAATGGTAATGGAGGTTGCTAAATTTATGGGTTAAAAGAGAACTTAAAAATTTTTAAAAACTCTTTGGGTGTGGCTCCTGTGGCTCAAAGGAGTAGGGCGCAGGCCCCGTATGCCAGAGGTGCCGGGTTCAAACCTAGTCCCAGCAAAAAACTGCAAAAAAAAAAAACCCTTTGGAACTTGAATAACAGTTATGCCACCAACAGATAGGAAAGCTAAAAATATTTGGAAAAACTGATAATTTGAAGTTTGGAAAGAAATTAAGAATGAATATTTGAAAGCAATTTAAGGTCTGAACGCCTAGAAAAATCAGCAGAAGATCCAGCTTTGGAAGTTGCTTATATAGATGCATTATTAAAAGTAATTACAGTGAATGAGATCATCAAAAAAGTTAGTATAAAAAGAAATAAGACATAGATTGATCTGAAGACAGAAATTTGGGGGTATCTTTACATTTATGTAGTAGAAAAAAGAAGGGGTTCCAACAAAGGAAATTGAGGAATCATTAGAAAGATGGGGAAAGGACCAGAATGGTATAACTTCATGAAAGAAAAAGGAAATTCTTTTACTTCTCTGCTACATTTTATTATCTATTGGCCACCTTCTTTGTTTTGATAATAAACAATAAAACAAATAAAATATAGCAGAGAAGTCAAAGAATTCAAGTATGAGAAAAAAACACTAAATCTTATAACTAGTAGGATATTAATGATCTTTGAGAAAGCAAATCTTAGTAGCATAGTGGAAGCAAAAGGTAATTTTGAAGGGGATAACAAGCAGTGGCATAAATCAGGGGTTGGCAAACCAAATCTACTCATATGCACCCCTCTGATTGTTAGCCTGTAAGATGGAATGGTTATTTTTAAAATAGTTTTAAAAAATCAAAGAGAAGATTTCATGATATATGAAAACTGTACTAAATTCAAATTTCAGTGTCCATAAATAAAATTTTCTGAACCATAGCCACAGCCATTTATCTATTCACTGTGGCTGCTTTTGTATAACAGAGCAGAGCTGAGTAAGCTGCAAGAAAGGCTATACAGCTTATAAAGCCTGAAATATTTACTATTTGGCCCTTTACCGCTGGTATCAATTATTCTCTCAGGAAGTTTTGTGGGAAAGAAAAAGCAAGTAGTTGAAGATTGAAACTAGGTTTTGAGAGGAATTTGTTTGTATTAGGTTTTTTGTTTGTTTTTGATAGGAAAGATGACCAGGTTTATAAGTAGTGAAGGAGAAAATTTTGAAAAAATACAAACAACCGTTTTATGGTTTCTTCATTCTCTCATATATTTCTGATTCATTCTTTCTTTATCTAGTTTTCCCTTTCTCAAACTACTATTAGAAATTTCCAGTGAAGGTCATTTCAGTCTTGTTTGAAAATGATTTAACTCCTAGATATTCCTTAGTTTTGAAAAAAAAAATGTGTGTGTATGTGTACATAAATCTTGTACACATACATGTACACCTTCCCCTCTCCTAAGCTAGCATTTAGTCACTCAAAATTTATTTTATATTATTAAACTATTATGTCACAATTGGGATTTTATCTTGTTAGTGATTATCTTGTTTGCCAAATTTTAATGTTTTTTGATTTCTCAAATGCTATTATGTATATGCCCCCAAATAACTTCTATTTGCATGCATATGTGCTACCATTTACATTTATGGAGAGAGTTCTTGGAGCGATGAAAAACAAGAGAGAATTTTAAAAGCAACAGAAATTGTTGATAAGATAGTAATCTATCTTCCTCTATTCTTTGTAAAAGCTGCTCTTAAAAATAGCTACTTTGGGCTCGGCGCCTGTGGCTCAAGCGGCTAAGTCGCCAGCCACATACACCTAAGGTGGCGGGTTCGAATCC